CTTCCGATCGTTAACTAGAAATGACTTGGTTTATTCACGAAAAATAAAGATCTCGAATCAACCAATTTGATGCCATTTTTTTTTTTTTAATTTTTAGGAAGACAGAGACCATATTAATTGAGTTCAAATTTTGGAAAAAATATATTTTCTTATGGAAATTACAAATCTCTCGAATCTAATTCTGAAACAAATCATGGTCGAGTTTCAACATGAAACTTGTAAGAATCTTTTCTTGGACATCGTAGTCAAATTGAACTATCCTACAACCAAAACTGACACTCATCGATCCTCTTACTAGGACTAGAGATAAATCCTTTGCCAAATTTTTCATTAAAGTGTCCGATTGACGTCCTATTTACTTTCTTGTTTTTCCTCCTTCCACAAAAACCGAAATTCTACCTTCCTCTCTCTTCTTTGTTTTCTATATCGGTCAACCCAGACCCCTCAAATTATAAGGTAGAAAAAATTACCTTTTTGTCTAGTGGATTTTTATCTAAATTTTTCTTAATTTGATAAATATTGAATTTTTGCTCCAAAGGTTCCTTAAGGCTTCTCAAGTATTTTTTTTTCCTTTCTTGAGATTCACCCTCTATGTCAATAATAAAATCCAAAAATTTCCAAATTTAAGGTATTAAAGTAAGAGTTATGTATCTGTTGCGGCTCGGGTGTTACTATTCAAATCCGTCAAGAATAAATGAAGTGTAGGCAAGCATTTCATTTTTTCTAATTTAGCTTCTTGAAATTAAGTTCTAAACTTTTAGTAGGTTCATATTGGGGGAATTTCACCTAAGATTCATACACGAAGCTAGAGTACATTACGATCTAAAGGCAGTATTTCATTGAATTTAAAGAAATGGTAAATTTCCTAAGTTTTAAATTCTGGACCGAATTTGCATTTTATTTTTCTTTTTGTGTCTAAAATAAACTTAAGAGAAAATACCTATGTGTACCCATAAGAAGTTACAAAATTTAGAAGAAATTTGATAGGTAATAGAAACCTCATCCTATTTCTAAAATAATGAATGTTGGCTAAAAGGGAGAAGGCACGCGTTGGACGACGTTGACCGTAGTGAGTCTAAAGCTCAGCAGGACAAGTGGCAAATGCTGAGCAGAGAGAATCGTTCAGCTACTAATGGTGACGTGCATGTAGATTAACTCGATCCCTGAACCTTGATTCGATCAAAAAGCTTGCGTGTGCAACTCGTTAGCCTTTGACCATAACAAAAAATGCAACCAGAAACCGATCCAATGACTCAATGAGTAACCGAGATCTACAAAAAATCTCCATGCGTGAAATTGCACGTGAAAACCCTATCTCAACGTGTGTAAGTGCATGTGAGTGTCATTTTGTTCGTTCGACCTCCATTTGTCAGTTTTTTGTCTTTACTTCGATATTAACATAATTATGCTTGAATTAGGATCTACGAGAGAAATTCCATAAATTCTTGAGCTCCAAACACGTGGAATAGCTGGCTCAAGAAGGTAAGCGTCATTCAAGTAAGTAACCACATAGACTTTAGGCAAGTAATACTTGTAAAGATCGCTAGGACATGATAGCATGCAACGAGCATTCCTTAACTTAGATGGTCAAAAATACATGTTAACGACCTCAGAAAAGCTTTATTTTTGTGAGTATGTATTGTATGTATGTCTCTTATGTATTATATGCTTGATTAAAATAAAAATTGAGCAATATGGATGAGTACATCATGCATGATGGAAGAAATTACCAAAATTCCCCTATGATAAAATTTCGTATGAATGTCGTTTTCTATGTTTTCCATTGCATAGGAAATTAGAATTGGTAAGAGCGACATGTGTTTCGCAAGCACTAGAAAATCGTGATAAGATTAGGACGAGATAGCGTGTGTAGAATCTTGATAAGGTCCATAGATTTCTAGTGGACTAAATATAATAAGAATAAAAAATGTTCGTCTCCTTAGCCACTTAAACGTATCAAAGTTGGGTGGAAAACTTTATTACTTTTAGTTTCATATTGTTTGGAATTGTCAAATGGCCAAATTGACTTCGTCTTTGTTGGAGATTTAAGGGGATCGGGATTAAATCATGATCACAAACATCATTTATGCATTTATGGAGAGTATAAATACCAAGAAATTGTTATGTAAAAATCAAAATCGTGGATGAATGAAATTGAGATCTCAAATTTAGACGTTTCCTTAGAAATTGGAACATCATATTAGTCCTTTCTAAGTTTCAAGCAATTCTTGTGATAGAATTGCATCCAAGCCATTCAATTAAGCCTTGATTAAGTTTGATTGCGGAGTGACTCGATTTAGAACAAGGTTACCAAATCATGTTTTTAGATCTTCGATTGTAAGAGGTAATCTAATTCTAGCCTTATCTCTTGGTTGATCTGAATTTTGTATAAGGAGGTGTTAATTACTTTGATTCAAGTGTTTTTGCTTCAACAAAAGCATGATTCGTTGGATTAAGGATTAGGGTTGCCTTATGAAAATACCGTAGGATAGTGAGCGGTGATAAAAAATCTAGACTTGTGTTTACCCAAAGATGTGATTAGAGGCCCCTAATAAAATGGTACATCTCCACGACTCCAAAGAATGACCAAGGTAACTATCTAGGCTATGAGATGCGTGGATGATACGCTATCTTTAGACCCTCCAATCCCTTTCCACTACAATATTAGTACTATTGAGCTAAGCACATGCTAGTAGTTTGAGCTTTTGTTCCGTTGAATGGCCTGCAGCCTCTTGAATATAGCCACTATGTTGTTAACCTGTTCCTTAAAAAGGGAGTGTGGGATACCATGAGATAGCCTAACTGTTGGCTAGTGTAGAATTATCACATCCCCAAATATAGGTGACTCTCTGGCCATAAGGAAGAAACCAACCAACCTCTTTTCCAAGATGTTCATACTAGAAATCACCATAATATCTGATTAGAATTTTATGAAGACGTGCCTCAATCTAGGTATTCGATCCCTCATTGCATAAGCAAAGAAGGTTTCCATGGTCAAAGAATAGAAAGATGGTACAAATTAAGCAAGAAAAGGTAGCATCTAGGCCGTTACTTCAACTTCCTTTTACACTTTGGTACAAGTACTGTCGACCCAGGCCTAGGCCAACCAGGATTGTGTGAACGATAGTTCATTTTGATTATCTTGCATAGTTGATCCGTCAAAAGAGGGGACGTAGGATTATGAGGGTAATCTTAATAGTTGACAAGCATAGGGGATCACTTCCCTAACCTTGGGTGACTAGATTGTCCTGTGGGTAGGGTTCGCCAACGAACCTCCCATGGATGATGAGAGCAGCCTAGCACTTACCATGCTATCCCAATTAAAATATTGGCATATATCTTTGGTGCAATGCATATCTTTGTTCATTTCATACATTACATAACCATTTCTTATCATTACATAAAGTGAATGTAATCTATGCTACCATACTTTCATAATATGTCACATTCACAATAGCATAATAAGTAAACATGAAATTACAAAACGTAACATTTGTCATCATAACAACACGTCATAACATAATATGCAAATATAGAAATCACAAGGGACGACACAAGCAAGGGCCACGGGGAATCCGCCACTCGTGCTTCAAACAATTCATCAAACCAAAACAGTAGTGAAGAAACTTACCAAGGTAGTTAAGTTGAAGTCCCTAAATTGTACTTGGAGCTAGTTCAATTTTTCCTTTTGAAATCCAAGTAAATCTATGCGAGTTCACGACACTTAATTAGCACAAATCGAGCAAAATGCAATACGAATGGAAATCAAGAATACTCCGAACAAAATAAAATAGAAAAATAAAAGAAAAATACAATAAGAAAAAGAAAGAAAAAGGAGATATTGTAGAGCCAAACGGTTAATGGAAAAGAATAGACTAGAAAAGAAAAAAAAATAAATAAATATGGTAAGAAAATTTAAGCCAAGATGTAGGAGCAATAATTGATTAAAAGAAAAAGAGGAAATTTGAAGAATTAAAATAAATACGATTAATTTTAAAAATACATAGAGGAAATTTAATAGAGAAAAAATTAAGGATTTGGTGAAAATTAAAAGACAAAACCGATGAAATGTCATGTCAAGAAACTCCATCAAATTCTTTCTAGTAATAATATCTTTCCTAAAACAATAATAATAGAAAATAACATATTTAATGAAAATGGAATTATATATATATATAACCCTCCAAGACTCCGCTCATAGAGTCTCTAATATTCACATGAAGTCTAACACATGGAGCGTTGTAAAATTTAGAGAATTGACATTGAACTTGATGTCATGGTTCTTATAGATTGACTTGAATATAAAGGACAAAATCGAACTTTCTCAATGATAAATTGGTGACACCAGCCTAAGCTAATAAGGTAAGTGGCTTTACTATCGGCATGATTATATTTGATGTTGACACGTGCCCTATGGTTCTGCACGTGTCATATATATTGATATGTGTGAACTGTTCATTGATCGATATGCTTATGCTATGGTATTCATATGTTCTAATATGTTAATTGTATGTTAATATTTATGGTACGATGTGTTCAATGATATGTTTGAGATAGGATGCGAAAATAATGCATTGAACGTAATGTAATGATAGGAGTAAGATATGTTGATGAAACGTTAAGGTTAGGTTACGTATAGAAGTGCAATTGATATGAGAGATTGATAAAAATGATAAGGTTATAATCAATTGATAAAAGTATATGGTTAGGTTATGGGTAGAAAGGGATAGGATCATGAAAGATTGATAGAACGATAGTGTTAAGATATATTCCTATAACGATATGACTAAGGTATGTTCATGAAATCGATATCATCCGAACACCCTTTTCGTGTTATCCCATTATTTTTCATTTGTTCCTCAAGGATAATTCCACCAAAAGGAGATAATAAAGCTTCTCTATCTTTTATAGATCCACTTGTGTATCAATTCATCAACATTAGCAAGAAAGTTTCTCAAGTAAATTCCATCATCTTTAGCCGTCCAAATACAAGTTCCTACAGTTCCATGTTTGCACCTATCACGGAGCCATAAGTGCTGCTGTTCAGGCCAAAAGCTTTCAAAAGAGACATACGCATGTGGCGTCTCCAATTTGCACCAATAGAGGGTTGTTCCCCAAAAGTTAACCTTGAAGTTCCATTGGTAATCATCTCCATGATTAAGCAAACGATGATACCCCAAGTCATCGTCTTTAGACTGACAATGCACAAGCAACCCAAGTTTGCTTAGCCCGTTAACCACATGAATGTAATATCTAGAAGGTCCTGGTGGTGGTAACGCGACCCTTGGAACCTCAGCCCCCACTAAAGCCACCGTGAAAAGAAAGAAAACGACAATATTCTTTATCATTTCCTAATACACCTTTAGCTTAACTACCAATTTGTGTTGGACATGTGAATAAATATACATACTTATAGTACATGCAAGAAACTATGTAAATGCATGCTATGGTTGTAAAAAACTTAATGATTTAACTAATTTCGGTTATGCAACACAATTTAAGGTTAATTTTGGGATAATTTTAGAGATTTATTAGATTTTCAATAACAAAATTCCTTGAGTTACTAGCCCAAGAATAATAAATATTTGATTGCTTTTTAAAATACTTTCATAAAATGGACAACAAAATATGCATACTTTCCAGTAGAAAATATAAAATAGAGAAAGCAATTCATAGATTACATATGGTATAGCACTCAAGGTATTAAATTCCTGATTTATTTTTTTAAGTTGAACTTTCAATCTTTTTACGAGGACCTTAGAAATTTTAAGGTGAGGGAGAACAGATAAGTTCAAAAAATTCTAGAACTATAGTTTCAAATAAGAATTGTCATCCATAAGGTCCAACGACTTGTCATCCATTAGGTGATCCATCAATAGGAATATCCTACACCCCATATCTCATTAGTGGCATAAAGGGCACATCACACTTTTGGAAGTCCATAAACTTGAACTTAGTTCGTGAAGCCTCCAACCAAACCTTGAAGTCATGACTTCCATTGCTTCATTCTCATTATTGGTGGATTTTATCTCGCAACTTCCCAACTTAACCAAAACTCAATTCAATTGAGGTAGTGGTTTGCTTTGAGGGGTGTTTAATTCCTATAGTGATCGTCTTTGGTTGTATGAACAATATTTCTTAGGTCTACTTATGTGGTTTGTACCAAGGCATTTTCTATACTGTCTAGGGCTACTACGTGCTCTCCACGGAGGCATGCTTGCCATTTAGAATTATGGTCATAGGGGGCTGGGTCCAAGGTATTTCACCTCGTACTAGGTGATAAGGTTACCCAAATCCTCAGCCCAACGATCCAAGCTTTTGTTTTAGCAAGAACCCTTGAATCAAAGTAATTAATACCTCCTTATATGAAATTTGGATCAACCTAGAGATAAGGCTAGAATTAGATTACCTCTTACGATCGAAGATCTAGAAGCAAGATTTGGAACCTTGTTCTAAATTGAGTCACTTCATAATGTAACTTGATCAAGGCTTGTTGGGTACATTCAAATGCGATAGGTTTGAAATTAATTGAGCTCTTTGCGCATATGTTTAAATTCTGTTGTTGACATATTTTTTTGAATCGGATTCGTCCTCGAATCAGAAAAAAAAATGACATATCTGCCACAACAAAAATACAATCTTTACCATTTTTAGTGTGCAGTCAACCAAGAACAAATTGTATAGATATATTAGTCCAAGGTTTGTTAGGTACATTCAAATTAGTATAAAATTCGTTTGGTTGTGATCTAGATTTAGTTTCTTTGCGTTTAAAACATTTGCTACAAAACTTTTGGATATCGTGCTTCATCTTCGACCAAAAGAAGTGTTTATGCAACATCTTATAAACTTTATTAATCCTGAGATGTCCCATTAAGACACGACCATGTGCTTCTCTCAAAAGCAAATATTTTATAGAGCATTTAGGAATACAAAGCATAAAAAATTTATGAAACAAATAATAACCATCCATAGCTTTTTTTTTTGCAAGACAAGATACATAAATATTTTTGAAATCTTGGTCATCTCTATATAATTAAGTAATATGCTCAAGTGCAAGAATTTTTGCACTAAGAGAAGTAAAGAGATCGTACCTTTTAGATAACACATCAGCTACCATATTACCTTGCTTATATTTGATGACATACAAAAATGTTTCAATAAATTCCACCCACTTTGCATGTCTATGATTCAGTTTGCTTTGACCCTTCACATACTTTAAGCTTTCATGATCAAAATGGATCACCAATTCTCTAGGCCATAAGTAGGGTTGCCACACATGCAATATATGAACTAAAGCAAATAATTCTTTATCATAGGTAGCATATTTTAATGTTGGCTCATTTAGTTTTTTACTAAAATATATTAAGTACTTTCCATCTTGAATTAAAACAACACTTATGCCCAAACCACATACATCACATTCAATTTCTATAATTTTATCAAAGCTAGCCATAACAAATGATGGTTTGCTTAATTTCTTCTTAAGAAAATTTGATGCATTCTCTTGCATTTCTCCCCATTTAAAAACAATATTCTTTTTCACTAAGTCATTCAATAGTTCAGTTATGGTTCTAAAATCATTTATAAATCTCTTATAGAGGTTAGCAAACTCGTGAAAACTCCAAAATTTACGTGCACTTTTTGGTATTGGCAAATCCATAATGAATTTAACTTTGTCTCTATCTAAAGCTACTCTACTTTTACGAACTATGAAGCCAATAGAGTTAACTTTTTCTATGCAAAAACTACCCTTATTAAAATTAAATTTCTCTTTTCTATGTGTAATCAAAACTAGTTTAACATGTTCCACGTGATCAAGCAAAATCTTCAAATAAATTATAATATCATCAATATAAACATGTTTTCTCATATATTTTCTCAAAACATTATATATTAAGCGCATGGGTGCATTAGTTAACATAAAAGGCATAACAAGCCATTCATACAATCCAAACTTAATATTGAAAGTTGTTTTCCATTCATCCTCTACGTGCATTCTAATTTGATGATATCCAGATTTCAAGATAATTTTTATATCTAGACACGAATCATGCAATAAACAAGCAAATCATCTAACCTAGGAATAGGATGTCGATACTTTACCATGATTTTGTTGATGACTTTATTATCCATGCATATGCACCAAGTTTCATCTTTCTTTGGCACCAATAAGTCTCGTATAGAACATGGTCTCAAACTTTCCCGTACATAGCCCTTCTCCATGAGCTCCTCCACTTGCCTTCAAATTTTTTTTGTCTCGGTTGAATTGACTCGATAAACTGGCTTATAAGGAATAACAGTCCTTGGAATGAAATCTATTTTATGTTCAGTACCTCCAATGAGAGGTATTTCTTTATCTTGAAACATTTCTTCAAATTCTTGGAAAAGAGATTGAAAAATACCCGGCAAAGCCATGTTGTTATAGTTAGAGACCAAAAATCCTCCATTGTACACAGGTACAAAAATCGATTTTTGTGAAAACCTTCTCACCTCTACAACCGTAGCCAAATAACTCTCTCTTCCTTTTTTCTTCAATTTCATCTCTTTTTTCATTCTTCTTTTTTTTTTCCTTAGATTTTTCTCTATTTTTTCACTCAACTCTTGTTTTTCTAACTCTTTTTCCTCACACACTCTTTCTTTCTTTTCTCCAACTTTAATTGATCAGCAAATACATTTGCAAAACTCAAAGGTACAAGAATGGTTTCTCTACCATCTTTTACAAAAGAATACCTATTCAAATAGCTATCATACATAACCCTCCTATCAAATTGCCATCACAAAAAACTTCATCTTTATATTTTTCCAAAGTAAAAGATATTAAAGCTTGAGAAACTACCTTCATTGTTCCCTATCATTGAATCATTGGAGCTTGTAAGATTTAGGATGATCTTAGGTCAGAATTTGCAACCTTTTGATCAACATGGTACTTACAACATTGGTGCAACTTCCACTATCAATGACAAGACTACAAGCAGTCCCCTTGACTAAACACCGCGTGTGGAACAAGTTGCCTCTTTGATCATCAACATCCGTAACTTGAGTTTTAACAAGTCTTCTTGTAATAAGTGCCAAATGAATCCAATCTTCCAATTCCTCCTCATTCTTCTGGACTTCTTCAACTAGATCATTGATCTCCCCTCCATTTTCCTTGTCTTGGTTCATGATTGTACACACAGTAGTAAAATATGTTTAGGACCTCAGACACTGAACTCACTGATTTTACACTTAGGGGCACTCTTGTTTATACACACAAAGGTAGGTTGTTTGGGAAAGTGACTAAATTATGATCAAGGTAGGCTAATATATGGGTAAAACAATTATGATAGTAGCAAGCTATTCAAGGCAATCAAGATAAGTTAATTATGAAATAACAACAAAATAAAACAAGTGAACAAACCAATAAGCGACAAAGATATTTTTCAATATAATTGCACACTGAAAAAAAGAATTTCAAAGAGAATGGTCGTGAAGATCGAACACAACAATTCCAGATTTATATGCTTTAGGAAAAAATGAGAATTGAAATTTATTTGATCTTCAAATAAATGTGCAAATGATCTAATAATAAGGATTTATTAAGAGAAATATGATAAGGATTTTTTTTTTTCAAGATCTAAATAGGATCTTTAAGAGGATGCTAAGAACAAAATAGAAAGATAATGAAGAACGATGGAAATGACAGTAAGAAAATAAATAACAGCTTTAAAGAAACGATAAATAATAGTGAAAATTAAAGATAAAATCAATTCTAGAGTCAGCCACAAAGATGCAATCTACGCTCTGATACCAAATTGATAAGGCAACCCTAATCCTCGGCCCAACGATCCAATCTTTGGTTTTAGCGAGAATCCTTGTATCAAAGTAATTAACACCTCCTTATACAAAATTTGGATCAACCAAGAGATAAGGCTAGAATTAGATTACCTCTTACAATCGAATATCTAGAAGCAAGATTTGGAACCTTGTTCTAAATTGAGTCACTCCACAATCTAACTTGATAGGCTTGATTGAATGGCTCGGGTGCAATTCAACCACAAGAATTGCTTGAAACTTAGAAATGGAAAATATGATGCTCGGATTTCTAAGGGAAACGTCTTAATTTGAGATCTGAATTACATTCATCAACGAATTTGAATTTTACATAACATATTGTGGGTATTTATAGTCTCCCGACAAAAGACGTTTGTGGACGAGATTTATTCGAGACGTTTGTGGATGAGATTTATTCCCGATTCTCTTTAATCTCCACAAAAGAATAAGTCAAATTGACCATTTGACTTTTACATAATTTATGAAACTAAACATAGATTTTTTAAACAAATGTTGATGTGCTTGAGTGGCTAATGCG